ATTGATGATACTATTACCTATGGCAGAGATGTCAATGGTGCGGTTCGGTCGGTTATTTTATAAAATTTGTACCATACTATTTTTTCTGTTATTCTATTATATATAACCAAAATTAGACTTTTCGAAATCATCCCAATTATGTCGGTTTCTCTTCGGTAACGTTACGATTCGGTTAATTTTCAGTATTTTTTTAAATTCATGTAAAACTCACCAGTAAAAGTAGAATGCAATAACGTACATACTTTTATAGAACTTAGAAAAACTCTCTGGATAGTTTTACTATTTAAATGGTGATGAATTAAGAAAACATGAAAGATGATCAAAGTATAGATCCATCAACTATTCTACATCTGCATAAAAAAAATTAAACAAAGACAAAGAAATGATAAATCATACGAGTAGAAAGATATTAACCAAGTTGGGACTCAAGAATAAAGTCTATAGAAGATTAAATATTCAAAAATATAAATCAAAATCATACGAAACATATTCAATATATTATAATACATTATAGTTTGTTACTCATAATTGCTAGAATACTTTATGTCTTGCTAGTGAATATGCTGGAAATAATTTAGTTTCAGTAGAGGTAGCATAATAGGTTTGGGAATTAGGATTTTGATTTTAATTAGTTGTTGGCTTGTAACCATTCTCATAATTCCAAGGCCAAGGAAAAATTTAATGCTTTATTATTTTTAAACTTAATATATAAATATATTTTTCACATGTAAACTTATTCGGTACGGTTCGGTAATACCCTAATTATCTGTACGGTTGTAGATTTATATAAAAACTTACCGTTTTTTTAAAATAAATCTAAAAGTCGGTTCGGTAAATTACAGTTCGGTTGATTTAGTCAATTTTTAAATATTCATCGACACCCCTAACCTTATGGCTTACAAATCTTCAACAGAACAAAAAAAAAAAAATTCCGAAGTCATACTGCAAGTACAGGCATCCATTGTTTGAAGAAATAAATTTATTTTGGAATAGCATATTGCATAGTTACTATTTTTCCTTAGATTTATGTTAATTGTAGACATTAACTTAAACTAATTTTTGTCAACTGTTGCAACTTCTGTTTTAATTTTGTGAAATAAACCAAACGAAGTTAGATTGTGTTAGTTTAACAGATTTATATATTGTGTCAACCACTGTGAAATTAAAAAAATCACATGAAAAATTCCAGCCCAACTTTAAATTCTTAACAAAATGAAAAATTCAGCTAAAAGATAAAAAAGAAATAGAACTAACAAAATGAGACAAAAAAACACTTAATTATAAGCCCCGGGGAGGAGGGAAGGTTGGATGAGGGTGTGGGTGCGGGGCAGGTGAAAGCGAGTCAAAATGTCATGCGAAATGGAGTGGGCCGGGTTTGAAATGTTGCAGGTTAAGATAAACTTTGCACCGCACAGACAGCTTGCCATCCCTGCAGTAGTAGGGGCGGATTTATAGTTTATTTTAAGGGGCACGTGAACCCATGAGCTCTTTGTCAAACTAAGTATTTTATGTACATATTTGTTAGAATTGATTTAATATTATCTGTTGGTACTCATGCTCTAAAAAGACGAAATGGTGCAGTTGGTTAAATGCTATTTTTTTTATTTAAAGGAGCAGTGATTAATTCTCACTTAAATAACTTTCCTCTTTCTCTTTCCTTTAGTGGTGCACCTGCTATATTCGTTACATGATATGATGACAGCAAATTGAAGGAGAGTGGAAAATTTAAAAACTGTTAGTGGTTAGTCAGTTTAAATTCGAATATCAACAAACCCCAGATGTTGACATTTGCAATAACTGTCCTCTTTTTTCCCTGCCTTTTAGCTTCGTCAGTCATTACATCAGCCCCAATTGCCAACCAATAAGTGTTAGTTCTACGTATCATTTGAAGGATCTTTCTTTCTTCATTTCCTTGTTTGTTTGTATGTAGGAATAAAAGATTTTAGTTTGCTATGACATGGGGATTGATAAATTAGCTAAGGATGTTTAACTAAACGGGAAGAGTGGCAGAGGCAGGATTAACCCTAAGGGGTTCAAAAATGAAAAAAGTTAAAAAATTGTAATTAGTGGGAATAGAACTAATGACCTCACAAAAGTTTTGAACTCCTTGACCACTAATTTATGCTTTTAAACTATATTAAGGAGATTCAAAACATAATATATATATATATATATATAGATAAAAAATAGATTATGCCTTATATATATAGTGTAATTTTTCAGCGAAAGGGGTTCGGGTGAACAACATTCCGCCCCCTAAATCCGCCCCGATGGGAAGGCTAATATTTGATCGACATTTAACAACTTAATTCAGATGTAGTTAGAGCTAGCTAGTTATATAAATTATATCTCTTCATTATATTCTATTCACCGTTGTATTCGTTTTAGAAAATTTTGGATCATGAAATATCGTCCGAGATAGAAAAGCATAAATAGTCGGAAAAGATAGTGATCAAAAGGGAGAGAGGCACATGGGAATCTGTATTATGTGTGTTATGGGAAAATTTTATTTTGTATCTCATACAACTGACACTAGTTGTATGAGGTAACCTTTTTGTCTCATAGCTTTGTGGACTCAAATTTTTGTGGACCCAAAAGTATAAGATTGGGATCCACAAATTTGAGAGATAAAAAGGAACCTCATACAACTAGCGTAAGTTGTATGAGACACAAAATAAAACTTGTCTGTGTTATGACTTCTTCTGCATGAAAACAGCTGAATGCGTACTGATCCTGCTCTTCATTGTGTCACTTCCTGACTTTATTGTTATTTTACGTGCACTCTCTGTTCTCTTATATATGTCCATCTCTCACTCAACTACTTCTCTATACCGCAAAAGTTAACTAGGGTTAAATTTGAATGATGGTCACTCAATTTTTGCATTGCACAATAACAAGTCATTCAAATTTATCAAAATATTAGAGAAAGACATTAAACTATTTTTTTAAGCTAAAAAATTACTCAATTTTACTCAAGTATCACAAAATTCAATCAACCCATGCCACTAAGTAGGCGTTTGGACATAAGAATTGTAAAATTTTGAAAAAAAATGAAAAAAATTCAAGTGAAAATTATATTTGAAAATTAGAGTTGTGTTAGGACATGAATAATTTTGGGTTGTTTTTGAATTTTTGTGATTGATCTGAGTAAAAATTTTGAAAAATAATTTTTTGGGGTTTTTAAAATTTTCGAAAAATTTCAAAATTCATCTTAAAGTGAAAACTAAAAATTTTATGTCTAAACATTGATTTCGAAATAAAAATAAAAAAAATTGAAAAAAAAAATTCATGGCCAAATGGGCTCTAAATTACTCCTTTGTGATTAAAACCATTGAAGAGCAGGCGAGGGACAGGTAACATCTAACACATAGGAAAAGTTCACATCACTTTTTGTAGTGCTGTACATTTGTGGGTGATACTTTCGACTTGTGGGTGTTCCACTGGGATCCTCTTAAAGTAAATAAGCAAATAGTACTTCCTTAACCCTATCCTATTTTACATGCCTCAATACTATTTGTTCAACTCGAAATTATTACCCTTGAAGTAACTATAGGGGTCCCCACTTGAATGGAAGGATTTGGTCCTATAAATTTTAAACTCGTAAATGCAAATCCTCTACACCTATTTTCTTATAATAACTGAAAGAAATTTAGTTGAAATTCAAACTCATCTCACAATATCATTTCAACTATATATGTGTCACCAGTACAATTCAAATGACCCTTGAAATTTGAAATGACTCCATCCAAATGCACCCGTCCCTCAGTGAAATTCAGTAATGGACAAGAAACTTTACCAACTGAAAACCACATTTACACATCCTATCAAAACACAAAAGTAATGAAGAAATATCGGTTTCCTGGCTATTCTACATAAAACATACTTATATGACAAGAAAGACAAGTTTCATCATTCATTCAAATGAAGTTTTTATTTAGTGAAATGGAGCGAACTTCCGAGATTTCTCCAGGTCAAATTAAATTATAAATTGCACAATCAAAATACATTTTGTCTTGGTAGATATAAATAAGAAAAGCTCCGGATATTAGGTCAGAAAGTCACATGTGTGTAATGTGCGAAGGCCCCATTTACTAAAGTTGAGTGCACAAGGACAAGAAGTCACATGAAGTGCTGCTGCTGCTGCTCATAAATTCATTTGTCTTAGTTTGCAACTTTACGCCCCCAGCATGTACGTACTAACTACTTACTACATTGAGAGTGCCTAATCTATGGTACAAAATACAAATTTTATCTTCTTGGCTTGTCATCGTCACCGAAAATGACAATTCAGTTACTACCTGAGTCATGGATGTGTCGTCTTCATACGCATAGATAGCACTATCTCACTCTCCGATTAGCTTAAATTTGATTAAAAACCAAAAAGAACTCTAGCTTTAATATTGACACCCAAAAAAAATCAGAATCCAACCATAGATGTTTGCATTGAATAACACCAAAAAGCTATATATTGCATTGCACTTCTAGTAGATTATACTGTATTACACAACAATGCTTCCAATACTTATAGTGGATATATAATTACCATTTATCAGTAATTATGCATCAACAAATTTAGCTATACATATATATATACATGACGACCTAGGGGGCGAGCTAGGTTATGGGAAAACCACACTTGAGAATTGAAATTTGAACCTCTGTAACTTAAAATAATTTTTAATCCCTTTTGACTCTACTAGAATTTTTTCTTATGTCAAAGAAATTAATTGCTTTTATCAGAATTGAAATTAATTTTTTAATCACCATTTATCAGATTTTTTTCTTGTATAAATTGCTTATATATATATAAAATTTATTTTAACCTTATTTGCGTAGTATAATTTTCAACCAAACAGATTCAATTGAACTCATTCCTTCCTTCTAGCTTTGCCACTGGGGGCTTAACCTTCTAATTAAAATCAATCAGCTAACTCTAAATTCCAAAACCAACTAAGATAGACTACATTGTCAAAAACTAAACAAAATTATTAGTCGTCATAAAACTGATAATCCAATTAATGTTTTCCCATAACTTGAAAGTTGAAAGGTAGAAGAAATATATGTAACAGAGGAATAATATTCATAGTAAGAGAGAAGAAACTAATTAGAAAGCAAAAAAAAAAAAAAAAGATTAAAAATTTCAACTAGGAGGAGGCCGGTTGGAGCTGAGATGATCTAGAGGAGGAGGAGCAGTAGAAGAAGAGCCAGAAAGGAGGTTAGCTAGAGCACTCATGGCTCGAACTTGCATCTCAAGAGCTGCTATGTAATCACTGGCTTCTTCTAGAATCACCGGCACCGGTTGTTTCCTGCAACCAGGTACAAGCCGTCCCAATACTCGAGCTTTCTTCTGGAAAGCCGGCAAATTCTTCGTTTTCAGCTTCAATATCCCCACTCTCGGCTTCTTAGGTAACCGGCTACTGGTACAAGAACCTGCCGCCATTAATTTCTGCCGCTTCGAGTGCTTCTTCATGAACTTGAGCTTGAGCCGGTTTGTAAGTATAGCTCGGCTCCACCTTGTTCGTCCTTTAGCAGTAACCGCAAGGACTCTGTCAGCCACTTCCCGTACGGCTCGGCCGCCTTTTGGCGCCGGCATCGAACGAGTCGTTGTCGCCAGCGGTGAACTGATTCGCACTTCACGGAGTGCTTTCAGTAGCTTTGAAGAGTAAACTTGCTGTTGAGCTTGTGTTTTCCATTCAGTCGGATTCTCGCTGTTATTGGCATTCGTGTTGTTTTGAGTTTTATTTTTCAAGCTTTTCTTATTCTTTTTCCTCCTCAATATAACTCTGTCAGAGGACGCTATAGTATTCGAGATCGGCGCTGAAGACATCTCTATAACCATTGATTCCATCAGATTCAGTAGTTAAAAATGGAATCAAATTTAGAACCGAATCAGATCGAATCACTCTGACGAAGAAGACGATGACCTGTAGATTCAGTCACATGAATAGACAGATAAGAAAGGAAGGCACTCAAACCAATTCATATTTAATAAAAAAAAAAAGATTCTGAAGATAATAAGAATGAATCAACAAAATTCTGAGTCGGATTCGAAATTAGCAGGTAAATTAAACACCAATAATTAGGATTAACACAAAAAAATGATATGATAAAGCAAGAGATCAATTGTTAAATGCATTTTAACGATATGTAAAAGAAGTATGAAGCACTGATTATTACCTGAGGATAAAGGAGGAGGGAGATTATTTCTTCAGAGTTCTTCTGATTGATCAAATAGGAGAGATGATAATTCGGAGGAGTGGAGGGAGGGGAAGGTGAAGGGTGATGGGCTAATTAAGGGGAATCACGGCAAGGAACGCATTGGACCTCTTTAAAAAGAAGCACCAAGACATGTATGGGGATTGGGGGTCCTTTTTTTTTTTTTTTTTTTTTTTTTTTTTTAATTTTAATTTTTTCTTTTCACACAGCTAATCCGGAAATAATTGTCTCTGAATAACTTTATATTTTTCCATTCAATTTAATTGAGCATGACGTTTACCAATATATAGAAGATTTTTGAATCTTATAATTTTAAGTTAAATATATTAGTAATATATTTTGAATCTTGTTATTTTGAACATATATGCCATTATTAAGGAACGTCGGTACAAATAAAATGAAATGCTAGAATAAAAATTAATTAAATATAAAAGGTGATAGTATTCCTTTTGAAATAGCTTTAAAAAATAATAAGATGTATAAATTAAATCGAAGGAAGTAGTTAATTGAGTAGTAGTTTGTCTATGTGACTAAATAAGCAGTTTAACACTAGTTTAATAAAAGGAGAGCTACAATAATTGCAAGAGTAGCATTAATATAACTAAAAGTTAATACCTTTTTTTTTAAACTGTCATTTTGGGTACGGGTAAAATCAGGAATAATGTTACCCTCGATTTTCCAGTAAAGAAACGGGAAGCATGATCTGATGCAACCTCGAGCAAAGTCGAAGGGTCCCTCGTTTTGGAGCCGTAATATTCACCCTCAACCGGATATTATGGCGTAAATCCCGTCACATATCGACTGTAGATCGACATTTCACCAAAAGAGAAGATTTTTATCTTATTTAGACTTGTACTGGAATTGAAATTCTCCTATTATACAAAGGGGAGAACTTTTTCATTTTAAACCACTGTTCGCACGCATATCAAAATAATAAAATTTATTTCTCTTCTGGCTATTGTTAAAAGCGTTCTTCTGTTACTCATTTCTTTAGTTGCAACTGAGCCCATATCGAGGGCCCGATCGGAGCCAGTTTTTAATGTTCAACTTAAAGCCATGCTTGATTCTTACATTGCGTTTGGTTTGATCATTTTATCTCTCTTTAATTTAATTATTTATTGTTCTTAGATCATTCATGTTAAATTAAATCGCGTGTCCTTCAAATCACGTACAAATTTAATTGTTACTCATATTTTAAGGGTAAACAGGTTGGGCTCCACTGTGGGAAAAAGGATAATAGTGGTGATTTAATACGAATCTCCATAATACACCCTATTTTACACTTGGTTCTTTGATGTTTGATTTCAGGTTAACCTAAGAATGTCAAATTCTCAGTCTGCTCACTTGATCGGTTTAGACCCCTTGGCTTTTTATATACATTTAATTGAAGTTGCCCTATCATGTTATATCCTCCATTGTTAAATTTAGTCTTACATGCTTTAATTGAAGTCGTTAGTACATGTTCTATCTTTTATTATCAAATATACTCTTATATGTTTTAATTGAAGTTGTTGTCACTTTTATTGTCATGTTACCTCTTTCATTGTTGAGTTATTCTTATTTGAAGTCATTATTACATGTTATCTCTTGTATTATTGAGCTTATTCTTCTGTTTTATTGTGTTGTTTTAATTCTCGTGTTAATTTACTTGTCGTACTCTCATGTTATTGTTGTCGTTGTACTCAGTGTTATTGAACCTTGGGATACGCGTGATTGTGGTATTGAAATTATTGTTATGCAAATGTGGTGGTATATGGACACGTGTGATGCGAGTTGTTATTGTAACGACTCGACCGGTCATTACAATATTCCTTACATGTTTCATTCCCATTGTCATTAGTGTTATTATATTATTAAACTTTTGCCCTGTTCTTACTATTTTCAGTAGGTCCCTGACCTAACCTCGTCACTACTCTACCGAGGTTATGTTTGGAACTTACTAGGTACTATTGTGGTGTACTCATACTACGCTTTTGCACATCTTTTTTGTACAGATCCAGACACTTCCTACCAGACCAGGATCAGTAAGCTAGTTGTACGCGGAGACTTCAAGGTATATATGCCAGCGTCCGCAAACCTCAGAGTCCCCCTCTATCTTTACTATATTGTTTCTTTATCCTCGTTAGACTCTGATGTATAGAGCTATTTAGAATTTCTTCCAAGAGCTTGTGACTTGTATTTCATCGAGTTTTGGGAATTTCTATATGCACTAAGTTGTTGAGTTTTAAGAGTTTTTATTTTTATTTTATTTATCCCGCATGTTGATAGGCTTACCTAGTCTTAGAGACTAGGTGCCGTCACGATATCCTCCGGAGGGAAATTTGGGTCGTGACATTTCCCCTGCTATAGATTATCAGTTGCATTTAATTTTTCATTTACATCTGCATAGAACATTATATTAAGCTCTCATAATTTATTTATTGGTGATTCATACTGCTAGTATAACATGATTTAATGCTTAACATTTAAATTTCAGGAAGCCTATCCAAAATGTTTTGAGGAATGACGTTAAAGTCAACCCGATTCCGAGGATAGTAGCTCGACTCAAGTATCACTCAATGATGTATCTTCAATATGGACGCAGTTGGTTGGTGGCGCAAAGAAAGGTAGAACCTACGGTCTTGGATCGCAATATTCAATAGGTCATTCTATGACATTATTGTCTAGTGATGCATGATATTCGCAGAATCACGAATAGGTGGAAGAATTACGGAAAGAAGTTGAAGAGCTGAAGGAGGAAAGGAAAGAAGATTGCGCAAATTTTAATAAATTGCAGAATCTAGTGGAGAAACTTATGAGCATGCGTCAATTTCATGGAGAGGATGACAAGGATACTGAGTTCTAGTTTGTTGTGGTTGTGATATTTGAGACATTATTATTTGTTTTGGTTGGATGTTTAGACTTGGTAATGTTTACACTTGACTATGATTGTAATGTTTTAGACTAGATTGAATGGTGCTTGAATGTTTAACTTGTGTTTGGATATTTTAGTTACAAATATTTATGTTTTCTATAATTGTTTCCATTTTATGGATTTGATTAGTTGAAATAGTGGATTAATTGGTTGGAATGGTGGATTAATTGTTTAGTTGATGTATATTTGAATTGGCAGGTGGTGGTGCTTTAAAACATTTGAAATTTGTCAAAATATTCCCAATTTTCGATTGATTTTCGACCAGGGTAGTTGCAAAGTGCTTCAAAAGTTTCCATATTCAGGACATCTGCGACTGCTGTAGTGAAAAAATTAAATAAAAAATAATATTAAATAAGGTTTGCGATCGATCGCAATAGTGGAAAATATAAATAAATAAATAATATTAAATTAATTTTGCTACCACGGTAGTGGGAGAACTCAAATAAAATAAAAATACTTTATATTATTGCGACCACTCAGGTGAGAAAGAATAAAGGAAATTATAATTATATATACCATTTGCGACCAAAGTAGTGGGAAAAGTAATATAAAATTAAAATTTAATTTAAATCAATTGCGACCGCGCCAGTTGGACAGTTGGCGACATTTATTAGTCATTTTTTTTATTTTGACTTTGCAACCGCTGTAGTCGCAAACTGTTTCAGACCAGCTATTTTACGACTACGATTTTTTGGTCTGAATGTAGTCGGATATTAGCATTTTTTGACTGTAATTCGACTGTTTTGGCAGTCGGAAAATAGAAATTTTTTAGTAGTGAGTCCTACTCTTGATACAGTTCTATATAAAAGATAATCAATCTCATGATTTGCTAATTAATCGGACTCTTTTTGATACGTGCTGAGAATTCCGACGTGATCTCCAACCGATCCCGGATATTTTGGCCTTCCGTTATTTGGCTCGACAAAATTTTCTCGATCTTGTTCGGTCCTGGAGTCACGAGCTCAACGATTTAATTTCGCGCCTTGGTTCGATAAAATCCGGGCTCGAATCCCTGACCTGTCACGTTTCAGCTTCGATTGGTCATACAATGGACGAACTCGATTTCGGCCGTATACAGACATAATTAACTGATGTTAATTAAGTTTTCAATCGAAGTGTAGTTGATTGATATGTTTGTTGTTTAGTAAAAAAATAATTAAAATTTTAACTAATATGGTTACTTGAATTCGAACTCGTGAAACTTTAAATTTGAAATGTAGGCACCTCGACTGTTTTGAAGATTGACTAAATAGTACATTGTCTTTCCCCGTGAAAAAAAGAAAAAAGAAATTGTTTACTATAATAAAAATTGGAGAAGAATATTTCCCCCCTAAATGGAAATATTCCTTATTGAGGGTTTCCCATTATATAAATGGGACTCCAATCATTTGTAGGATCATCTTTTTACTGAGCAAAGACTATACTCTCTATCTTTTCGCCTATTATTCATCAGCATTGTCCTTTAGCTCTATTGTTCTTACTTTATTTTTCTTACCTTACTGCTCTTAGCCTATCTCGAGGTCACCACTGTCAAATATTATTGGTTTGATTCACTTATCTTTTTTCATTCTTACTTCATATTTCTTGATTACTAATTGGTATTGAACTAAATCACATATCTTTAAATCACAAATCAAATTTAATTATTACTCGTATTTTCGAGATAAAGAATAACAACTACTAATAGTTTGGTGTGGTGTAGTGTTGGGTCCCTTTGCGAGTGAGGAGTTAGGACCCTGCGGTCCCTTTGCCTCCCCCCTGAAAGCCAAAGCCAGCTTCACTAGATGATCATCCATTAAATCTCCAATGCTGTTTTTGGTAATTACGATTATTTCTATCATTAAGAGTAAGATCAATCAATATACTTCACGATAAATAAACTCCAACTGTCATATTTCTGATCAGTTCTTTTATTAGGGAATTAAGTGTTACTTCGACGATAGAGTTGCTACCTTGCATTTTAATGATGAAATATTTTTATTCGTACCAAATCGTTTCCTTTCCTTTTCCCAACTCAAGTCTATCACCCCAAAAAAAAAAAAAGAAAAAAAAAGAAGCTACTTATAGATCGTGGTCTTCATTCAAATTTTTATACATCTTACTGTATGGGTCCAAATTTAACCGACCACGATCGACGACGAGTACGACGATTGACGGAGCCTCCTTAAATTGACGTCCTGAGGGAGACGACCCTGAGACAAACCAGAGACTGGACGACCTCTATAATAATGTAT